CACGCATACACGCATGAAAAACATACATGCATGCACAAAGACACACATACACCCATACACATGTACCCACATACACATACATACGTATAGACATATACACGCATACACATACATACGCATAGACAGATATACACGCATACACATACATACGCATAGACATAAATACATACACACACATACAAATTCACTTATACACACATACACACACATCCATATACACATATACACATATATACACATACACATACACATACATATACATACACATTTACACACATACACACAGATAATTTGAGTCATGCATTCCCTTCCCACTCACCAGTCGGTGGCGCAGTGAATGTCATTATGTGCGCTGTGTAGATATCGCACAAACCCGCCGATGGTCCACATCCCATCGGCGTCTTTGTATTGGTCGTATATGGCTTGGATACGGGCGCCGTTGGTCTCCTATGTTACAAGTGACATGTAGGTACAATATGTAGGTAAACTAAGAACGTCAGGTAACGCAATGCGCTTGGTAGTCAACAACTCAAGGGTTCACTTTCGTACTTTATTGGGTTTTAGGGATTATTGAAATGATTGCTAAGTTAAGTACGGAATGGTCAGTTACGATACCAAAAGAAATGACACGTGTCAAATGACAAAGCTCTACAGTGTCACAAAGATGGAATGACACCGGGCAGCTGACACGTGTCACATGTGTCGTATCCATACGACTCTAAAACCCTAAACCCCTAAAACCCTAACAGACTCCTTAACCCATCCACACGTACAGCCTTAACTGACCCTTTAACCCAGCCTCACGTACAGTCATAACAGGCCCTTTCACACACACAGTCCTAACAGGCCTTTGCCCTCATCGTCTGTGCTTACCTGGTCCATCTGATCGGTTGTGATGAAGCGTGTGACTTGGTCGATGGTCCAGTACACTCCTGGGCCGTTGTGGGTCTGTCGTCGCAGTGATCGGTCCACAAACACCTGTGCCTCGCCACTGCGCAGGTGCACTGTGTCCATGAACCGCTGGAAGGACTCCACCGACGTCACCTGCAGCCCAACCCACACAAGCCACAGCCCATGGGGTGGGGCAGAGACAGCCGCACACGCACAGGTGAAAAGGGGCCACGAGCGTATGACAGGATGGCAGAGGGGTATGGTGAGGCATGGCGTGTGTCAGGTTGTGGTTGCCATGGAGATGTGGCGGTGTAACATTATTGACTGAATGGAAGACGAATTGCCAAACAGCAGCGGAGACTGACAGAGGAGTGATATGGAGCAAAGGTCAAGAGTTGTCACCAGACCTCCATATGGCGGCCTCACGTCTGCTACGAGACTATAACAAGGGCAATATGAATGTGCACGTGCCAATAGCACTGTTGAATGTGTATTAGACTGTAATAAGGGCAATATGAATGTGCACGTGGCAATAGCACTGTTGAATGTGTATTAGACTGTAATAAGGGCAAAATGAATGTGCACGTGGCAATAGCACTGTTGAATGTGTATTAGACTGTAATAAGGACAATATGAATGTGCACGTGGCAATAGCGCTGTTGAATGTGTGCCGTGGCAGATTGCAATGTTCGCGATCACCAACGGATGTCAGAAGAAAATCAATACATTCACCATACAAAAGTTGTTGCGAGGGATCTCCGAATGTTAAAGTGAAAGGGTTTGGAACCATTTCACAATGGTGTCACGTGTCATCGCCAAATACGTACAGGCCGCTATACAGCCGCCATGTGGCTAGCATATCAGTGGAGTGGGTGTCACAAGGAGAGTGTACTTGTGCCCTTGAGAGGTGACAGAGTTGAAGCGGTGTGTGTGGATGATACTGTTGTACAGTAAACAATTTAACAATTAAAGAGTAAACAGAGTAGCGCAGAGGACACGGCGTGGTGGACTGCGTGTTGTGTTGTTGTGAGTTTAAGTCCGTTGTGAGGTCATATTGTTGTGTGCGTCTAATATAACGTACGAGCACAGTAAATATTTGGATTTGATAAACGCAATAGAGGACAGACAGCGAGTGATCATTGCTGTCACAAACATGTAGATATCGCATTAAATTACTCACACGCTTCGTTTCCGCAGTTGGCCTTGACCATTAGTGCGTGCAGTGGCTGCATGTGCCGATTAGGGTATGGAGTGTAGGGTTTAGGGTTTAGGGTTTACACTGCTGTACCTTATTGCCCCCATCGGTCGCTTGGTAGATCAGCTGCACACACTCGGCAGTCGACACCTTCACATTCAGTGCACTGCACAACGACGACAGGTCCTGTGCAACAGACGACAGATATGAGCACACCACCACTAAACCGTACAATCTTAGATGTCTGTTTAAACCGTCCAATCTTAGATATCTACTTAAACCGTACAATCTTAGATATGTACTTAAACCGTGCAATATTAGATATATACTTAAACCGTACAATCTTAGATATATACTTAAACCGTACAATCTTAGATATATACTTAAGCCGACAATCTTATATCTGCTTAAACCGTACAATCCAAGATGTCTGCTTAAACCGTACAATCTTAGATGTCTGCTTAAACAGTACAATCTTAGATATATACTTACACCGTACAATCTTAGATATATACTTCAACCTTACAATCTTAGATATATATTTGAACCGTACAATCTTAGATATCGTCTTAAACCGTACAATCTTAAATATATACTTAAACAGTACAATATGAGATATCTTCTTAAACCGTACAATCTTAAGTATATACTTAAACCGTACAATATTAGATATCTGCTTAAACCGTACAATCTTAGATGTCTGCTTAAACCGTACAATCTTAGATATCTGCTCAAACCGTACAATCTTAGATGTCTGCTTAAACCGTACAATCTTAGATATATACTTAAACCGTACAATCTGAGATATCTGCTTAAACGAATAATCTTAGATATGTACGTAAACCGTACAATCTTAGATATATACGTAAACCGTACAATCTTACACATCTGCGTAAACCGTACAATCTTACATATATACGTAAACCGTACAATCTTACATATCTGCTTAAACCGTGAATCCTTAGATGTCTGCTTGAATGTATGCTCCGCCCGATACACAGAAAGCGTCAGATATTTGTTCGTCTACAAAACGACCACGTCATGTAAGGTCACAAACAGTATCCGGTTGACAGAATTGAAATATGATTTTATTTATTGGCGGCAAGGGATGATATGTGCGCCGTCTGTAATATATCACAAACATCTCTCACGAGGCGACACTCCGCATTGGCACACTACTTACTGTCACGTCCATGCTGCGACACTTTGTGCTTTTGTCCACACGGGAGCGTTGGCGCCACTCTCTCCTGACCCACCTGTGCAATGGCGCATGGTCACGTGTCGCAGTGCAGGTGAACAAACGATGTACAAGCATACCATTCTATGGTATCAAGCAAATAAACACTCAGGTCAGCAAAGAATGTACAAGCATGACATTCTATGGTATCAAACAAATAAACACTGGGGTCAACAAAGGACGTGCAAGCATACCATTCTATGGTATAAACAAATAAACACTGGGGTCAACAAAGGATGTGCAAGCATACCATTCTATGGTATAAAACAAATAAACACACAGGCCAACACAGGATGTACAAGCATACCATTCTATGGTATCAAACAAATAAACACTCAGGTCAACAAAGGCTGTACAAGCATACAATTCAAATAAACACACAGGTCAGCAAACGATGTACAAGCATACAATTCCAATGTATCAAACAAATAAATACAAATGCGATCAGGGTCTCTGTGCACTCCTACGTCTGTGTGTACAGCATGGCATCTTGGAGAAACGGATGGATAGGCGTAGGTGCAATCTTTAGTATTCTGAGACTCTACGTCCACTCAAGTCAGTGTTTTTCATGGGCTATGAATGCCAAACATAACAGCATCAAAGAACAACCTCTGGTGAATGTCATAATACGAACCCACAAGGTAGTGCTTTTCATGTTTTAGGGTTTAGGGTTTTTTGCGCTCAATGAAAAGTCTGAGCCGTTCATGGCTGAAGGGTGCACCCATTGCACCGTCGCATGCATCGTCTAACTATCGTATGTTCACTCACTGCTTAGAGAAACTCCGAGGTCACTCTGCCCAAAAACGACTGCACACAGTCACCGGACGCGGTTTGGGGTATAACCATTCTCTGCTGCAAGAGCAAACACCCGCCTGTTCACATCACGGGGAAGCGAGAGATGGGTCAACTCACCTGTAAGCGTATACGCCCACCATCACTGCAGTCACTCCCAGACACACAGCATTAGAACACATGTTTGAGTGGCTGGATGCCATAGGGACGATTGTACGGGCACTCCATACACATAGACACAATATCAGCTAAGCATGTTCACACAACACGCTTCTCTGACACACCTGCCACACACATGGACACAATATCAGCAAAGCATGTTCACCCGCGCACGCTCGACACACCTGCGTGGCATATCATATCAGTTGTCGAAAACGAACCCACATAGATCAAACACAACCCCCGACACCAAAACGCCCGCCATTCAGCAAACCATCCCCCGCCACTTGCAGGTGGTGACTGCTTGAGTAGTCCAAGTGACAACTGACAGTGACTTACAGGTGGTAGCTGTTGACGATAGTTCACTTGCAGGTGGTGAATGCTTGAGCAGTGCAAGTGACAACTGATAATGACTTACAGGTGGTAGCTGTTAACGATGGTTCACTTGCAGGTGATGAATGCTTGAGCAGTGTAAGTGACAACTGACAATGACTTACAGGTGGTAGCTGTTGACGATGGTGTCACCTTCCCGACACCCGCGCCGATCCTCCGTCAGTGCGTGCAGAGCACAGATCCACTCATTCCGCTGTTAGATGTGCATTTGACACAGTGGGAATAAGGTGTGCAATTGAAATGAGATGTGCAATTAACATAAGATGTATATTTGGCATAAACCCATTGGCATGTGCAATGGGAATAAGATGTACAATTGGCACAAAAATGTACAATTGGCACAAAAATGTACAATTGGCACAAAAATGTACAATTGGCACAAAAATGTACAATTGCTTGTTCAAGTACGTACGACAAGGAAAAAATATGCAGTGTTCCTTACCTCGGCAACGCTTTTTGTTAGAACACCTAATTCTTCGTACTTCTCCCCAAAGATAACGAGAAATCCTAACTCCGGATTGGCATTATCTTTGAGTTTCCGCCAAAATCTTCCAAATCGAGCAATTCGAATTTCATGCACACTTTCTAGCGTGATGTATTTGATCTGTATAGACATCAGTGGGGATTGGATCGTAATTGA